TTTCTAATAGCATCGATGAAAGCTTTTGAACTATGGAATACAGGTAGTCGGGCCCCTAGCTCTTCTCGTATGATGGTAGAGCTTATTGCTGCTTCAGATACCATCAAACATATGAATCAGTCCTCCTCTGCTTCCGGTTTGGATAATAAGGAGGTGATGTCAGGTTCTTCTTCAAGTCCTTGAATATGCATTGGCGAGCCTCATCCCAAAGTGCATGCTTTTCTGCTAGAGCAAAAGCGTCTGCCAGAGTTAGATCTTCTTTCATGATTAATTTTTTGAATAACGAATGGTTTGCTAGAAGTCCTTTTTGGAAGGCTGCTCTAGCTATCGAGTCGTTGCATCCGACTATCCTTGCCTTCTTTGCTTTGAACCTCTTCACATAGTCACGAAGCGACTCTTTTGGGTTCTTCTTGATGTTAAACAAATGGTCGAACTTCGTTTTGATCAAGTGATATGATGAATATTCTTTGGTGAAAACCAAAGAAAGTTCGTTGAAACTCTCGATGAATTGTGGCAAATATCTTGCACATGAGATCGTCGTTGTTTCGATAGAGGATCATTGCGCTTCAGTAGTTTTTTAAATGTCTCTCCGGGTCTTCATCCCCTTTGAAAGATATGAAATATGGCATGCTGAACTTGCGTAGAGGCTCTGCCTGCTTGTTCTCATCCGTGAAGGGTGACCTGCTTATGTTGGTCATGTTCCGTCGTAGTGCCTCGTCAGTGACCTCTTTGCGTTAGAAATCACACAATCTCTTAGTCAAGAGTCTCTCTACTTCTTCCTCGATTTGTCTTTGTTGGGGTAGTGGAGCTTTCGGCTGCCCCCAGCCGTGACTTGCTAGTCTAGGCTGCTCTCTCATGTGTTTGGCTCGTTTATGCCGCTGATGCGATGAATGTGGTACGATCTTAGCAGGATAGCGAGTTCTTTGCAGGCTGCCAATTAAACTTGAGCAGGATTGAGTGACTGATTCTCTCCGTTTGTCGTTCTGCTTACTCCGATGTGAGGTGGAGGATGCTCCTTGCTGGCTTAGTAGCGAATGAACACTTCGCCTGGAAGGTTGCTCATGTTGAGTATCGGAGTGTGACCCTAACCATGAATGTATGCTTGTCCATGAGCCTAGTCGAGAGTGCACGCTACTCCGTGCGTGAAGACGGGAGTATACGCTATCTCGGGGGCCCAATCGAAAGTGTACATTGCTCGAACGCTCGATTCGTGGCTGGTAGAGTGGCTACTTGCCGAGACGCTGCTGGAGAGGTTCTTCGTCTGTCCTTGTCCTACTTTAGGACACCTCGTATGGGGCACATTGTATCTCGGTGCACTGCAAGAGCTGGTTCACCAAGGTCGTCTGTTGTGCGAGGGCGCTCGTCAACTCTATGACTTATCGAGACAAGTGTTGTTTTCCATTTGGGTTGGAAGAGTTTGGAAAGAATGTATCTCCTCGAGCAGTGGAAGTATGGTAGACTCCAGGCACGAGATTCGAGTTAGGAAATGTCACATCCGCAGAAAAATGTGGTGAACATGCTCCCGGTTCGATCATCGATTCAGAAATTTAGAGCAGGGACGGTTGAACTAATCTTGGACTGATTTAGGCTGCTATGAAGGCCATGGGAGCAGGCTGGGCCACGGGAGTGGGCTACTCGGCGAGAGCAGACTGTGCCACGAGAGTGGGCTGCTACATGAAAGCAAGCTGGGCCACGAGAGTGGGCTGCTCGGCGAGAGTGGGCTGCTCGGCGAGAGTGTGCTGCTCGGTGAGAGCAGGCTGGGCCACAGGAGTGGGTTGCTCTGTGGAAGCAAGCTGGGCCATGAGTGTGGGCTGCTCGACGAGAGCATGCTGGGCCATGGGAGTGGGCTGCTCGGCGTGTAGCGCACGTGAGTGTAAGGCTTGGGCTCAGGCCCGTGCAAGCTTGGATGGCACAGCTTGGCCCATGGTGAAATCTCGTAGTGATGGTGCCACTCCACCTATGACCACATTTAGCCTTGCGGATCGCCGCGATCTCATTTCTTGAGTATTGGAATTTTCACTTGTGGAATTTTCTAAATTTCTAGCCATTATATTCCTCTTTTACGTTTTATCAAAGAATTTTTGCAAATAAAAAATCCTAATAATAAGAACGTATGAAAAATGCAAGGGGACTAGAAAATAGAAAAAATAGAGAAAAATCCTTTTTACGCGAGAGTCTTCTACGAGTATGGATCTCAGCTCTCAATGAAAGCACCAATTTGTGGATGCAAATTTCTTCCTCCTTGATCTTGGACAAAATTGCACCTACAAAACAAATAACACCTTAGGTCAAGGCCAAGAGCCTCACGCGCCCACGATGAATTGGGGGGGGGGGTGGCTTTGGCCGAAGAACCTCTGATGCCAAAGTTAGAATTTAGAGAGAAAAGTGTTTGAGAGTTTTGGAGAATTTTAGCAAGAGTGGAAAAACTAGGTTTTTTGGTGAGAATGGGAGCCAATATATAGGGCATGGTCGGTCCTCTCTGGAGAAAGAGTGGCCGGCCCTTTATGTTTATTTTGGGTGTTATTTGGTGATTTAATTAGCAATTAATATATTGATTAGGAATAAATATATTAATTGACTAATTAACATAATAAAAGGAATGTTTTTGGGAGTTTATGGTATAATTAGCTAATCAATTAAAATAATGGCTTAATTGATCAACTAATAATGTCAGAAAAAAAGGAAAGATATGGTGGAAAAATGAAGGAAATGGCCGGTTCCCTTGGGAGAGAGGGTAACCGGCCTTTAGTGTATTTTTTGGGCATAATGGATAGTTTAATTGACAATTAATGGATTAATTAAATAATAATCTCATTAATTAGCCAATTAACTTAATTTATGTGGGATATTTTGTAGGTTATAGAATGATAGCTAATTGATTAGCTAAAAGAGGGAAAGTGAGGTAAAAAGTATATGGAATGAAATAGGTTTTGAATTGTTACCTATTCTGGGCACTTTCGACTTTGCTGAGGGATGATTGCCCATTGCTCGCGCGTAGGAATCCCATTATGCATCAAGGGTATTTTTGTCCTCTTCCGTCCAAAAATCCACGTGTCGCCTAGTGAATATTTTTTGCTCCACAAGGAGAGAGAGAACGTGGGGGGAGTGGGAGGTTTTTGTTTTTGGTTTTTTTTTTTAATTTTAAATATTAGAGATATTTTAACATCACCTATAGGTACCTATAGGTGAGGCTTCAATAAAAAAAAAGCAAATTTTGGACCTATAAAATTACATTATTGCCCATCATTTTTTTTTGTGTGATAGAAGACTAAGTTGTCTTTTCATCTTCTTTTGGTTGACAAAGAAGGTTTCATTAATTAATAGAGATAAAACACTTTCAAAAATAAAAATATCAAAGTAATTTAAAAACACCAAACACGTTAAAAATTATATTAATTAATTTACAAGTACGAAAAAATATGCAAACGCTCATGATCGCATCCTCTGCGCTTTGAGATGGGTATATCGTTGTTTAAATTTTTAAAACCCTACAAACCCTTGTGAATAGTATTTTTAGGTATGTCCAAATAAATAAAAATAAATAATAATTTATGTACAAGTGTGAAAAATGTTAAAGAATATATAAACGCCCGTGTTTGGATCATCCACGCATAGACGATGGTTACGTTGCCGTTTAGATTTTTAAAATCCTCCAAAAACCCTCATGAATAATGTTTTTTATTTGAGTACAAATTAATAAAATTCATAATAATTATTGTAGTGAAAAATGTAAAAAATAAAAATATTCAATCCCTCGTAATGACAAGCTTTACAACTTTCGTGAAGGGTTCAACTCCGAAGTCAGACACCATAATCCATAAACCTTAGATTTATCTTTGACCATCAATTGTTGTTTATTCTTTATTCTTCTCACCGAATATCATTTTTTTATATTTTCTTTTTTAAAAACATGATCTTTTAGCGGATATAGAAAAATGAGCAGTTCAAATCGTGATATCACATTCCGATATTTATGGTTAACTAAAATACGAATCAATGTTATATAGTTTTTAGAGGCCTTATAAACTCCGAGCAATATTTTCACTAACGTTAAAACTTTGAAAGTAATATCAACAATGCGAACCATTCATCTTCATGCATCCTTTGAAAGATCATGTTTTCAAAAAAGAAAATCTGGAAAATAAAAAAATGGTGAGAAGAATGGAGCTTAAATGTAAACGACAATCAATGATTAAATTTCGACCTATAGTTTATGTGATTATAATGGCGAATTTCGAAGTTGAGCTCTTTACGAAAGTTGTAAAGCTTGTCCTTATGAGTGTTTATATATCTTTTTTATATTTTCCACACTTCTATATTAATTAAAGACAAATGTGTTTTTATGTTTTGAACTATTTATGTAACAATGTGGTATGTATATAATAATTTAGTATTATGTTTGTCATTTGACTATTTATTGGTTTAAAATATATTTTCTTTAACAGGTAACGGATTAGGTTATATTACTTATTAATATTAACGGGTCAAGTTTGAATCGGGTCATTTATCTGTTTATTTTAAGAGGTATTACACGACACAACCCGTTAAAATATCGAGTATGACACTAAAACAACACAAATGTCAAATCTGTTGGTAACCACTCATCCTGTCATGGAGTCGGATGTAACCAGTTTCCTAAGAGGTTTTAACCACCTCTTACCAAAACACATGCACCAAATATATATAGTTTGGTCTCACTCACATTAAGAGTAGGACTCAAACTCATAAATTACTAAAAACATAGCTATAAAAATCGAAAACATGAATAAGTTATGTCCAAAAAAGGACATGAATATGTGTGCCTCCACACCAAAACAACCGTTGATGGTATTTTTGCTTCCTGAGCTAATATTGTTGCGATATTTTTATTCTCAGTCTACGAAATTTAGATTCCCCTTAATCTAGAGCTAATTATAACAAGAATGATTTGCGGACAGAAATATTTTGTTAGAGAGAGAGAGATTAATTACATAAATCAAGGAGTTAAAAGAATGAGAGGGACATACTGGCCAGAGGTTTTGCAACAATCATATCTATTTATATTGGGTGTAAATTAACCACATTTAGTTACTACAACTTCCAGAATTTCGGTGCAAAAGAAGTAAATTTACCTACCAAAAATCCAAAAAAAGTAAATTAAAAAAGCACAAATGGGGACTGGCACATCATGGAGAATTTGTGATTTGGTTTTCCATCCATTGGCAATTGCAACACATTTTGCTATAAAATCCAGGAGGGAAGAGATCTTGGGGGTATAGCAATTTGTGACAATTGCCTCTCAAAACATGTTTGGATCAAAGCAAATCCACCTTGGCTTCATTGCATTCACACTGTTTCTTCTGTGCTGGGATGCATCACCCACTAGGGCTTCCAAATTTTCCAATGAGGGTAATGTCTATATGCTTGCTTTTTTTTTTCGTCATCTTATTCATCATCATAAACGTCATTCATTAGAAAACGATATTCTAAATTGATTTAATTTACGGGAATCGATGGGGATTTGAATTCGGGCATTGGGAGGGCACAGTGCTCTGCCTACTAGCCTAACTCACGTCTGGATCATCGCAATCTTATTGAGTTAGGGTTTTTTGTGCAGAAGATCCCATAGAGTTTGCATACACTGAAGGGGACGAGAGAGGACCAGAACATTGGGGAGACCTTAAGGAAGAATGGAGCACATGTAAGGATGGAAAACTACAATCACCTATAGATTTGAGGGATGCCATTGCAGACAAAGTTAACTCAACTTCGGATCATCTTAAAATCCATTACAAGCCTACCCAAGCCTTGATGAAGAACGAAGGCCATGCTATTTCGGTAAGAAAGTGTAAAATCCCGCTTCTGTTTTCTTGTTTATTTACCGTCCAAGGCATGAGTTTTTACTGCTTTTGTTGTAATTTTGACAAAGCAGGTTGTGTGGGAGGGTTATGCCGGAGGAGTCACGATCAACGGCACAGAATACTTGCTCCGGCAATGCCATTGGCACGCCCCCTCCGAGCACACCATGAATGGCAAAACCTATGATGTGGAACTGCACATGGTTCACAAAGACACCAGCAACACTCGTGTAGCTGTGGTTGGATTCCTCTACAAAATTGGCAAACCCAATCCTTTCATCACACAGGTAAAAACTTCCATCATTCCGCTGTAAAAACTCGTTTCAGTTAAAAGCTAGAAAAGGCGAATATAGGAAGATCAATGGTGGTGTTCGTACTTTTCAGGTGCGAAAGGCGATACGGTCTATGATTCAAAAGCCAACGGAGGTCCACCTGGGAGTGGTCGATCCGAGGAAGATGAAAAAGGCTCAGAAGGGGAAGCAGGATGCGGCAAGGAGGATGATGAAGAGGATGAGCTCAAAATTTTACAGATACATGGGATCGTTCACAACCCCTCCTTGCACCGAAGGAGTTACTTGGACCATAAACAAACAGGTACAGCCACTTCATCGGCCCTGAAAAATTTTCCCTACTCTTGCAAATTCACATTTTGGTACCTGAAAACGAGAACCAAGCTGATTACAAACTGTTCACAGGTACATACAGTTTCACGATCACAGGTGGCGTTGCTTCAAAAAGCCGTTTACAAGGTGAGTAGCCTGTCTTCGTGAAGTGATTCTTCCAACTAACTAGCTACACCTATTAACTCTTCTTGATTTGTCTGAATGCAGTATGCAGAGATGAATTCAAGACCAGTACAACCTCTAAATGACCGGGAGGTCAAGCTCCACGGCTCGTCATTCAGCAAGTGAGACATGCATAACTAACATCTTGGCAAATTCTATATGTACTTCAGAAACTGTGAGTTCAAGACTATCTCAGAAGGTCTACGTTTGCTTTCGGTTTCTCTCTTCAATAAATCTATATGTACTTCAGAAGCTGCATACCTATTTGTAACTGTATTACATATTTAATTCATGATAGTTTACTAGCATTTTCCATTGATGAAGCCTCATACAATGCATTCCCATTTCAAATGCAAAATGCTTTCCCCTGCCCATCAGCACACGGAAATTGGCTCAAATATGAGCAAATTTCCCCCGACTAAACCTACGGCGAAACTTACTGGCCTAAGAACAGAAAGACTGGCCAAACCATTTTTCCCTGTCACAACTAAAAGCTGACTTTTTTTTATATAATTTGGGAAGTAATACATCATAAGTTTTGATCTAGAGGTTCGTCACCTCATCATTGCAGTAATCCTTGACGAGCATGATGCTGGCCCTCCTCGTGTTTTCCTTGTATTGAAGGATTTGCACATGGGGCACTTGTGCCCCAAAATGTGGAAATTGACCTCAGACATTTCTCCGCAGTCGTTGCAGAGGATCCAAACCTAACCAAATGCGTGTGAAATTTAATTACCTAATAGTTGCAGAAGCCACAGAAAGTGATCATCTGTGTACACTTACCATCTTATTTAGATACTTTAGAGGCATGGGAGTCCCCGCAACCTGAAATTGATTTGAAAGAGATTGGTAAACAAGAAAGACAGGAACTAAGAGGTAGTCATACCACTCATATTAAATTGAATCATCGAATCCTAGATTTACCTCCTCATCAAGTTTTTCCCACACATGGGACATATCACGGAATGATTTTGAGCAAACTGGGCACGAGTACCTGCACAGTTATATACAATTAATATGGCTACAGTTTCTTTACCATTTATAACAACCTACATCAGATTATCGGTATATATAAATATCTAGAAAACAAAAACGAATTACTGGAAATGCCGCTGCATCTCTTTTACACATTCCAAATGTATAGTGTGTCCACACCGCAAGACAGCAATGTCTTCCCTTGTATCGAAAAGAAACTGCACAAATACTGATGTGAGTTGGCGCACTATAATGCAGAAAACTCAGTATATAATACTTGGAATTTTTTTTTTTTTAAATTAACAAAATTTTGAATTTGTTCAAAACTTTAGTCCATTTTTTTTAACTATAAGAATTTTAACCACTCGAGGGGGCCTCGATATATTTCCAAATCTTGAAAAAGAAGCTAAAAGTCTTTAGTTTGTTAGAAAGAATGTTAACTTTCCAAATTTCCCTTAATACTTGGACATCGTATCCTCCAAACTTTACCTCAAAGCACACAGGGCAATTATGATGCATAGCTTTTTCCACACAATTATGTGAATCCTTCAACGCGTTTGAGTAACAACATCCTAAAACATTGATAGAGATATCTAATTTAGACTATTTATAGAAGTATGATTAAAAGTATGTAAAAGGAAAAAAGCAAAGGTTAACATCTTACCACATTTGTTACAGTGGAAAAAATTCTCCCCACCTCCAGTTCTGAAACAACAATTAAAACAGGCTTAGACACGTGCAAACTCTTATCGATGAAGAAACTTTTCTAGACGTAAGATAATGAAAGGTAACACGCATTCATAACAATTTAAGAACATAGTGACAAGAAAACAAACAACAAAATCGAACACAAAAGTGTAGAAAAAAGTCCAACCTGCAGATACCGCATTCGTCACAATGATACTGTTTCTTCGAAACCTAGCAAAAAATAAAAACTTGGATTTTTCAACGATGCAAGTGTTTTCAAAACAGGGTTTTATAATTATGAGAATATGAATTCAGGGCTTACGTCATCATCAAAGAACTTGCATTTGGAGCAAAAATAGTTTCCCATGCAAACCCCACATTGGATACAGAGCTGTTGAACCTGAAAAAGATATCAGAACTTGAGAATCCATTAGCCTCAATCCTTAGATTTGGAAATACAATAATCATTATCGGAATCTTCTAAAAGAAGGCTTACATCTTGTTCTTTGTTGCACAAGGAGCAGATGATCTGAAAGATACAAGGCAAGGCAACCAAAGTAAAACTGGATCAGTAACATTTCCCAATGATTAACAACTTCAAAAGAAAATGGCATGACGAGGGCCGAGGGAAATAACAGGAAAGAGGCATAATATACACCTAATCCATAAAGTTTAGATCTTTTAATGCTAACCCTTTAACGCTACACATGATTAGCAAACATAAATGGAAAGCAAATTCACATCCAGCAAAACCCAGATAAAATCAGATCTCCATGGCGAAAAATGCCCAACAATAGTTTCTAATTCTATTCCAATTTCCAAATTCCTTTTCTTCTTAACTATTTTTTTCTATATAACGATATATTTACACTAAGATGAGGGAATAAATTGGTATCAAACTCGACATTGATGTGATTAATGAGGGGGTGTAAAAGCAACTGACCCTTTTCACATCGTGCCGAGGAACGTCATGGCGATCAAGAGGAGCAACTTCCAATGAATTCTGCTCCAAATAAACATATTACCACAATCATAAGAGGCCGAATTTCACAACGATCACGAAATCAATAAAAACTCGAAAACCAAAAAAAATAACAGACCTTAGCTTCGTTATGGCAATGCCTGCAATCGAATATCTGATCACAGCAGGGTGCTCTGATCTTACACCTCCGTCTGTAATGCGCGCACCTTCAAAAATACATCATACCAACAACAATTAATCACAAAAATTCAGCTCAAAAATAAATAAAAAATTAAATTAAATTGAATCTTAATGAGAAATACCCGAAATTCCCAGATACCATCTCGGTGAGAGAGTTGACTTTCTGGTAAGAACGGTCGTCGTCAATGGAGACCTGGGGCTCGAATCCGCCGTCCATTCGCCTAAATAAGCTGAAAACTAGGTTACCCAGAAGAGAAAATTGAAGCTTGAAGCGAACTGTAACTAAAAATGGCGAGGAGAGAGAGGAAGGCCGAAGGGAAAGGCCTTGCAATTTGGCTTTTGCAGAGAGCTTTCAAGTAAAAAGGCAAAGCTGCTGCGGAGAGCGCCTGATGAGAAAATGAGGTGTGCGGTTTATCAGTTTCTGATATTTTCTTGGAGTGACGAAACTGATGACGAGGCGACACGGCAGCGTTTCCCGGTAAGAATTGCACCTCTTGATAAAAAATAAATAAATAAATAAATAAAAAGTTAAAAAATTTAAAATAAAAATAAACAAAGATTTTTAGCACAAATAATCTTTGAAATTGATCATCACCATCAAGATAATTCTTAAAATTAAAAATCAATCAATATATTGTCTAAAAATATGTGTCGCAAATCAATGTGTTCTTTCTGTTACAATTGTGTTAAAAATTCTATTAAGTGTTAATGTGACATATAAATGGGTCCCATAAGATTTACGAGTTTTTATCACAAATGGTCTATAAAATTAACCCACATCATCAAAATGTCCCTAAAATTGACCACACCATCTTGAAAATGGTCCTTGAAATTGACCACACCATCAAGATGATCCTTGAAATTGAAAACCGATTAATGTAGTCCTTGAAAATAGGTATCGCAAATCAATATGATCATTCCGCCACAATTCTGTTAAAAAAAAAATTGTTATGTGCTAATGTGGGCTTAACAATTAATTAAAAGAGTTGTCTAAATACTTTTTTGCTCAATAGATTTTTTTTTTTCTTTTAGTAGGGCCTACACCGAAGAGAAACCCCTTCCATAAACTCTCAAAGGCACAAGGCTTAACCAAGGCCTAAGAGGGGTTGTGGAAATAGTTTTCAACCAACAATAGACGCACCTCAGTTATAACCTCATTATCTCAAGGCATACCTCGTCGTTCTTTGCATTACCAGACCACCAAGAAAGCGCCAAACAATCTCTCCAAAATTAAGGGTATGAGGATATTGATCGCCTAAATATTAACTGTGATGTCCCAAAAGTCGTTGACAATCGGCCAAGTAGTCACCAAAGGTGATCTCGATCCAGGTTCAATTTGGTGAAGGATGCCGAAATGTGTAAAAATAGGTGTAATGAGATTTTTTTTTATTTTTTATTAGAGAATAGAGAGCAAAGGAGGTAGAGAAATGTGAACTAGGATCGAAGGTGATTGCAAGATTGGATTTTTGGGTTGACAATTTTTTTTATTAACTATTAAATTATTAAGCCTATTTGTAATTTTTTTTTAATTTAATTAGACTTATGTGACCCATTTATGTGTTACATCAGCACATAACAGAATTTTTTATAGAATTGTAATAGAAGGACTACATTGATTTGAGACACTTACTTGCGGGACTACATTGAGCAATTTTCAATTTTATGGATCATTTTGATGTTGCGAGTCAATTTTAATGACCATTTGTGAGAAAAAAAAAAAAAAAGGACTTATGGGGCCAATGCCACTTCAACACTTAACAGAATTTTTAATATAATTGTGACAGAAGTACCACATTGATTTACGACACCTATTTTTCAGGGACTACATTGTTTGATTTTCAATTTCAGGGACAATTTTGATGGTAAGGATCAATTTTAAAGACTATTTGTGATAAAAACCTAAAAAAAATTGTGATAGTTGCATACACGTGTATTTTTTTATGCAATTAATACTTAGTTTCAATAACATTTGTAGACCATTATTTCACACCACATGTTCTAGTTCGTTTTATGGTTGGTGAATCATATGATGGCAGTGGGGGGAGGCTGAAATGCCTTTATGAATCTTTTCGATCTCCAGAAAAGTAGATTGTCATACCGAAACCATCAGCTAATCTCCTTTTAAAAAAAGAATAGTCTGTCAACCTTACCTTAATCCACTAGTTTCGTTGAATTGGTGAGACGTGCCCTGATTTGAAATTTTTATGGAAGTTTCTCTCCTAAATTTGTGAGTTGGGGAATCGATTTTATATTCTCTAATCGGGCAACCATATTGAAATTTATCTAATTTATCTTCTAAACTTTGAAGTTGGGATGAGAATTCAATGTTAGAGCAACTCCAGCGTTGGAGCCCTCCCCCCTGGCAATACACTATTCAATCCACCTAATGAACAGTAATTGCCCTTAATGAACAGTAAGTAGCCCTGGCAATAGAATTTGCATCTCCACCGTTACACTTCAATAGCCCTGGCAATAGGCAATAAAATATTAGTATTTTTTTTATTTATAAAATAATACAAAATAATTTTAATTGTAATATCGGATAAAATTTTTAATCGTTCTCGTTGCGCCACGTGTCATTATCCGAAGTATTATTAAATAATACAAAATAATACAATTATTGGTGATGGATTTCTGATAAGATTATTAACAAATCACGTCGCGCCACGTGTCATAATCTGTTCACAATCTTTGAGGATAGATTTCCATCAGATTTGTAACGAATGACGGCATGCCACGTGGCATTATGCACAACCTAATCCTTTCTGAATCCTCTATATAATCCACCATCCATCCTCACAAATCTCACACCAAAATTCTCAAGATCTCTATCATTATTCATAGTTTCTGCTTCCTTATTCACAAAAATCTGTATCATTATTCATAGTTTCTGTTTCTTTCTTTCAATGTCTTCTTCTTCGTCCTCAAGGATGATGTGGGAATTCAATCAGGAAGAGGAAGAATTGTTTAACGAATCAGAAGCAATGTTCAATCACCAGGGGGTAAGAAATGAGAGGGAAGAGGATGAGGCGCGTCAAATGAGAGATGACGAAGTAAGAAAGGGCAGAGCCTCACATTCCCGTCGAGTCATCCAAGCTGCGACTCAGATTTGCAGGCCCAGCCGTTCCGGAAACCTTGATAGAAGCAAGCAACGACGAGGTATGGAACTCTTGGATGATTATTTTGTTCCTAATAGTGCATTCCCTGATACGTACTTTAGATGTCGTTTTAGAATGGAACGACATTTGTTCAACAAAATCATGATTGCTGTTTGCAACCATGATTCTTATTTTGTGCAAAAAAAAAGATGCTTTTGGTGCTATGGGTCTACTACTTGAGCAAAAAATTACTGCTGCCTTGCGGATGCTTGCATATGGAGCATCTGCAAACCAAGTGGATGAGATAACGAGGATGGGGCAATCAACCATTCTTGAGTCCCTGATGAGGTTTTGCGGAGCAATCGAATCTATCTACACCGCTGAGTACCTCCGCAAACCTACACACATGGACTTGGAGCGGCTGTTGAAGAAGGCGGAGATGCGTGGCTTTCCTGGGATGATTGGAAGCATTGATTGTATGCACTGGACGTGGAAAAACTGTCCAAGTGCATGGCAAGACGCTTACGGGGACAGAAAAGGAGCAAAAAGTATCATTCTGGAGGCGGTGGCATCGTTTGATACATGGATTTGGCACGCCTTTTTCGGGGTCCCGGGAGCTCAAAATGACATCAACGTCTTTGCCCAATCCCCAATGTTCAATGATGTCCTGCAAGGAAAGGCACCAAAAGTTACGTATGAGGTCAACGGACGTATGTACGACGGGCCATACTACCTAGCTGGCGGCATCTACCCGCGCTGGTCAACATTTGTCAAAACAGTGCCACGTCCGCGGAGTGCAAAGGAAAAACACTTTGCAAGCTGTTAAGAGGGGTGCAGGAAGGATGTGGAGCGTTGTTTCGGTATCCTCCAAGCTCGCTGGCGATCGTCAAGGGTGCTGCCAGATTGTTTGATGTGGAGTCGCTTCGATCCATCATGATGACGTGCATCATTCTTCACAACATGATTGTGGAAGATGAGTACGATTATGAAGTTGTTGATGAATATGAGCCAGACCCGATGAACAATTCAAGAACACGTATATATTGTGCTCATGACGCCACCGATGAGCCCGTGCAACATGAGCCATTACAAAAGGATGGACGTTACAATGAAAGGCTCATTCAACGATATACTGCATTTCAAAGGCCAGACATGCACAATGCCCGACAAATTGACTTGATAGAGCACCAGTGGGCATTGAAACAAGGTGAAGATAATTATTAAGTTCATTTAGTGTGTTTTTTTTAATTTGGTATGTTTATGTTATTTTATTTGGTGTGTTTTATTATTTGGTATGTTTATGTACTTTTTTTATGTTTATGTTTATGTAATTCTTAGTATATGTAATTCTTAGTATGTTTATGTTTATGTTTATGTAATTCTTAGTATGTTTATGTTTATGTTTAATATTAGAAAGCCAGATGAGTATTTATGTTTGGCTTTTAGTGTATGTTCAAATTGCTTGCAACCTTAAAATTGTGATTGTGCATAATTCTCATCTTAATTAGTTACACTCTTTATTTTATCATGGCTTTGATGTAAGTAGTAGACGCTATGTTCACATATGTACATATTTTGCTTTGGTTAATACATTAAAGCATATCATCATTAAAGAGAATGGCACCATCATACAAGTAGACTTTATGTTTTTTTCTTCAAAATAAAAAAAAAAAGTAGACTTTATGTTTTTGCATGTATATATTGTTCATCTTTTGTTTTGGATTAATGTATCAAAAATCCTACCATTATGTAATTCTTAGTATATCTAATTCTTAGTATGTTTATGTTTATGTAATTTTTTTATGTTTATGTTTATGTAATTCTTAGTATATGTAGTTTTTTTATGTTTATGTTTATACAAGGACTTTTAATTATACCGATGGACTTTTAATTATTTTATACAAGGACTTTTAATTATTTTATACAAGGACTTTTAATTAGAATGATGGTCATGGTCATGGACTTTTAACAACATAAATAACTTACCAAATTAATTCTTAGTATAAATAACTTACCAAATTAATTTGAATAAATATTCAAGAAATTGGAAACAACATAAATAATACAAACAATAAATAATAAATTACAACCCAAAGTGATTGGAAAATTATGGGCTCCGATTACAAAAAGTACTCTATTCATCATCACTTAACCAATTTGTGGTGCTAGGATGATCTTCTCTTGCGGTGCTAGAACCACCTTGGCTTGCTATTGTTTCTCTTGCACGCCTCCTTCGCACCACGTCCGCTTTCTCTGACTTCCAAAAAAATTTAGAATTTGGAGACTTCCCTTCTAAAGACATGTTCATAATCTCACG